AATGGAATTTTTATAAAAAGTATTTTCTTTTCCGCTTTCGGCATTTTTGTTGGCTTTTTCCGTTCAGTTCAATTACGAACAGTAAACTTCTCGAGACAGCCATTTTCCAGTAAGGTTATCTGCACTAGTCCAAGTTCGTCCTTTGAAGTATCTTTGAACAGATAGGCCTTGATCTCTGCAGAAGATAGCGTGCAAGGTTACGTTTTTGATATAGTAGGACAAAGCTATGAAGATTTGTGCATCGTTCAGTCCACGTTACTTTTCGACATACCTTTCTTTAGGCAGAGCCATCGCGGCTTCTAGTCAGAAGGGCATCTAAAAACAGCAGGCAATCATATTCCTCTGGTTCAGTTGCAAACTGAATTGGCGGAAGTACTGCGTTGAATTCTGAATCGACATGAGCAAGATTAGTGTTCTTGTTCGCCAAACAAAAGATATCACCTGCAAAACAACTAATAGCCGTAGATAAGGAAGCTGTCCCCAACTTCGTCATGAAATGTCGACAAGACCGGGTCCGAGGGATGAACCCATAGCGACACCATCGACTTTGCGGTAGAAAGTGTTATTAAACAAAAATTGTACATTTGGTATGCATTTGAGTATGAGTTCTTTGAGAGGTTTGTCTGGAATACTCACGGATATCATTTCTGTGTTGATAAATTCACATATGAAATTAACCGTTTCTAACAGGGGAACATCTGTAAAGAGAGAAATAACATCTAAAGAGAACATCAGTCGGTTGTTGATGTTCAAATTTTTGGTTATTTTAACAAATTGTAAAGTATCTTTAAGTGTATGCTTGGCGACACGTTGACGCATGGGTTCCAAAAGCCTAGCTAGCCAACGGGCACTTGTGTACTGAGGTGAATTTGTCATAGAGATAATGTCACACATTGGTATACCAGCTTTGTGTATTTTGGATATACATGGATATATCATGTAGGCGGAACACGTTAGAGCCAACCGGTTTGAGATCTTCAAACAGACAGGATGATATGTAGCCTTGATCTTTGAGCCGGTAATTTGCTTTTCAGCTTTCCCCGTTTGTTCCTTTTCAATTACATCGCAGGTGAACTTTGTTTGATCCGATAGGAGTTGTAGCATTTTGGATACACAATCGGCACCCATACTCACCAACAGACACACAGGAGCGAAATTCGCCTCGATTTCGGACCGTGAATCACATATTGTGACAGAAACGTTTATGTGCACCGCGTTTAATGTGCCCAACTTTTTTCATCTAAGATGAATGCTGCCGTGTATGAATTCGTAAAACCGCACAGTACAAAACGGAAAGATTCCAAACGGTATCTACGAAGTACACGGGACCATGATAGCCGAATAACTCTCTCAATCTCTTTGTCACCAAGTAATTCTGATTTACAACAGCGTTTACGATCAAAATATACGATCGATAATTCGGAATGCACAACTGTCTTATTTTGTGAGTAGTCCCATACTATTCCGAACTTGATACATTGCGCAACCATGTGGATCGAACCACACAGCATTTTCACGTGTTGTCCGGGAAGCGAGGAATTTATTACTTTATGTAATAAATGGCCTCCTGAGAGGCCTAACCATTTTGGATAAGTTGTAAGTTGTTGACACATTCTGCCAGAAACGTGCAATCTTTCAAGCTTTATTAACATTTTTGCATACTCCCACACATGTTGCAGCTTCGGTTTCACATACCACGCTTATGAACATGATTCAGCGTCACCGATGTCGTGAAACTAACTACCCTTCCCTCTGCATGCAACATTCTTGTTCTACATTTCATTGCTTTACCGGACAAAGACCACTTCTTTGATCAGCGCGTGTTGGCTTATAATTCCCGCAAGCTTCCGTATCTTCTACTTTGGCTCTGCAGGTTTGCTAACAGGATAGTAGTCGTACGTTCCGTGAAGTGCCTTCTTTTGTTTCGTACGAACGCTTGCTTGTGACATAGATTTATGAACTCCGGGGTTCCGATGGGACCTCACCTACACTGACCTTACACTCGCACTCAGTTTGCATTTTTTACAACCATTAAAGAGGTGATTTCATGCGCCGGTTTTGGTTACTGTCTTTTGGCTGCCCCTTTGGATAAAAGAGCAGAATGAAGATTGGAATGCTGACAGGACAGTCCAAGAAAACATAGAGAATTCATATAGAGCTAGGAAAACCGCGACATGCTGGAGTAGACCAACAGCGGGATCAAATCTGATTTGCGATGCATTCAGTGGTAAATTTTGCTTGTGGGACTGAGTCCGAAGTTCGCCAACGATATTCGATATCTCAGGACTCAACAGTCCTGATGGAACAAAAGCGAAAGATCCCAATCTGTCAGGATCAGTATACGGACCGGCTGCGCCTGTAACGTCGACTCAAGAAAAGCATTAGGAAAGATCGCGAATATTGGTGGGCCAAAATAGCGAGTGAAATGGAGAAAGCTGCTGAATCAGGAAATAGTCAAAGACTGTTTCCCTTGATACGCAGCACCGGAGGTCGACGCATACCGGTCAGTGAATCCATTTGCGATAAAAATGGTCAGAGTATCCACAATAAAAAACAACGATTTGATCGGTGGATAGAGTATTTTGGTGAACAGTTAAATTGGCATAGTGCTAATGTGGTTATTCCAGCGATTGCAATGGAAACTCCATCGGTGGTAACATGTGAGCCTCCAACAGAAGTATGGAACTGTATTCAATCGTTAGAGAAAGGGAAAGCTGTGGGAGCTGATGGGCTTCTTCCCATTCTTTTCAAGCCGAGTGATGACTCTCTCGGAGACTCGATTTCTAGCTTACTTCGCAGTATGTGATCGGAAGAGTTTACGCCTTTGTCCAGGGGTGAATAGTTCGGCGCTCCCATTTTCGAGAAAGAATGACGCGACAACTGCGCAAACCACTGCGGTATTAGTTTATTTCCCATAATCACAAAAGCGTTAACTTTTGTGATGCTTCGCCGCCTGATACCCTTAAGGGAGATGAATATCCGCGAACATCAAGCCAAATTCCGACTAGGTCGCGGCTACATCGACCAAATCTTCACTCTGCGTCAAGCCTTCAAACTACGTCATGCACATCGTCGGCCAACAACCTAAAGGAGCCTTCAATTCAGTTGACCGTGAAGCTCTTATAGGGTCGCTGCTTCGCAAAGGAATGCTGCGGATGTAAACCTATTGCGGTCGCTGTACTTGTAGCGTAAAGGGCTACGGTGGTCTAGGTGAATCGTTTGAAATCAGGGGCGGTGCTCGTCAAAAGTGCTCTGTTCAATTTTGTCGTGGACGAAATACTGGAGAACGCACTCAGTCGTCTTGAATGGGCAACTGGAGAAAAGCTGCGCGATTAAGGGACGCTGACAACATCCTTTGTCTGTTTGAAGGTATGGAAGATGCATAGAGTGCTCTCGACAGACTGTTAAGTTCTTTAAATTCATTTGGCATGAGCTTTCCATCTTCATAGTGTAAAGCGATGCTACAAGAGTGTGTATCGTCTACCCCAGCGTTGACGCTTGACGGTCACGAATCAGCTATAGCGGAATGTTTCTCTTGCTCAGGTAGCTGCGTGACAAATAACGGTAGCATAGTCAAGGAAGTAATCGACCACATTTCCAAGGCAGGAGAAGCTTACGCAGGAGTGAAAAACCCTTGGTGTAGACGTGGTCTCTTTGAAACTGAAAGATCATGTATGCTGCTCCGGTGTACGGTCAATTCTCCTTTATGGTAGCGAGACCCTTAATTTGCGGTGGAAGTTATTCATCATCTAGAAGTCTTCGGCTGCCGGTGTTTACGCAGTTTGGCGCTGGTTGGGTGGAGCGAGCGTGTAAGCAACTTTGAGGCCAGTCGTCGCGCATTCGATAATGATTCGATGGACAATTCGTTGTCCCATCGAATCCAAATTAGTTGGATTCGCTAGTTAGGACACGTACTGCACATGTCCAGCTATCGACTGCCGCACCGCGCCTTATTCGCAGTTGCGGCTCCAGGTTGGAAGAAGCCATGTGGAGGTCAACAGATGACGTGGAAACGAGACATGAAGAAAAGCACAGAGCGATTAAGTACAACAGGTGTCTCCCGTCTTCCAGGTTGGGGTCCACAAGACTGCAACTGGCTGGTTGGAGACACTGACAGATATGGCAACTCACCGACAGCAGTGGCGTTCTTGTTGTCATTTCTTATGAGGTCAGGATACTTGACAAGGTCTGTATGCACAGTTCGATTGTGTACTCTATATGCTGAAAATAGAGGTTCACTTTCATTTCTGCCTAAAAATTAGGCCCAATCCTTCTCCACCTTGTAATTGGTCATTTAATTTGTGTACATTATGAGCTTGGCAACAATCAGTCAAGTTTGCCTCGCTGTACGACGCTGATGATGAGACAGATGGATGTATCTATTTGGTTCTGTCGTGATTTGGTTGGTGCACAGATTGGACTCTGAGACAAACGAAATAATGAAGAATATAAACTTGTATATAACTCCGACAGTATAGAGGTCAGCTAGAACATGGACCTAGGCCTGATTCTCAGTATGTAAGTTTTAAACCATTAAGATTTGTGAAGGAGTCATGGCAAACGTGACAAATTAGAGTCCGAACAATAATGTGCCCGTAATATGTAATGAAAATGTTGCGCACGATACACCCAAATCCAGGCAGAAAGAAAAATGATGCGGTTGTAGATTTCTTCAGAATTAGGGCGAGAGGTGAGAAATCTGTAGTTCCAGACATTCTGTCACCGATATGAGATTAGTGGTCGACGGAGGCGAGCCACAGCAGAAGCGGTGAGAATTTCTCTGTGTGCCCAAAGACTTTCTCTGTGCAGGCGTTCAAGCCTTCCTTGACCACCGGACCTTCGCACACACAGATACACAAACCACATCCCGACCCATCGCGATAATGATGATGTTAATGATGATGTTGATGTGAATGTTTTACGAGGACGATTTTATTCTGCGTTAGTGATTTATAGTGTGATGCATTAGAATGATAACGAATCACTGAAAACGAGCTGATTTGATACTGTTTTTCCTAGATTCAATCAGAAAACCTACCAATGGAGTTCAAGAAACCAACAAGATAAGCTCACCTGAAGACTAGTGACCACCGATTCCGCTCGACCGATTTGTTGGTGGACCATGAGTAAACTGTTTTGTAATCCTTCGATATCTGTGTACGTCTCATCCAAAACATTTTCAATACCTGCGGGAGGAGGGCAAAGATACAGGAAAACGGATAATTGGTGAGTGAAATGCAAATTAATAGGTGACGATAAATAAAGCAATTTTTAAGGACTTGAAATAACCTTTCGCTTCCCTTTAATTCATCAAACATGTAGTTGTATACTAGGACATGGCTTGAGAGAATGGGAAAATACGGGAATCGAAAAGATGGGATTTAGTTTCGCTTGGGGTTGACTTAGTGCGTCGCTAGATTGGAAATTTACGAAATTTACAGTAGTATTCGTCCCGCGCCCCATATATAAAACAAATGACCGATCTGAGCATATTGAGATTCCCTCATCAATCAGTAAAGTCATCATTATTAAATTTGTTACGTTTATCAAATAACGCCGACGAGGAAAAACTACAATTGCTTGGTACGCGAAAAATTATCTTAAAATCCGCCAGCTCATTAAAGCTTAGTTTCTACGGTCTCTATGGGGGGGGGCAAATATCAGTGCTAGGAACCGGGGAGGGTGGTAATATCAAGAAAAGAAAAAAAAGAAAGATTATTATCTTCCCCGGTGAGCAACAGATATAGACGATGAAACTTGGGACAAAACATTATCAAATCATACGAAACACTGCATAGATAACCAAGCTATTACACTCCGCATAACCGGATTGCACAAAAAAAATGCGGGATGCAATATGATGCATCAAAAAGAAGTTGGAGTATAAAAACTAAAACAAACTGCCGAAACCGGAATATTCCATTGTGGAGAAACCATCATCCGGGCAATGACAAACAGGAAAGCCAGTCTGGTTTCGAAAAAACAAGTGCATCCTACTCCCGATAATTAATCTTAATACCCAATAGTTCTAGTCGTGCAGAGTATAGTGAGACATAATGAGTTTCGGTCACAGCGGCCACTGTTAACACGCTACCCCCACGGTCGTCACCGTTAAAAAAAGTGGTGCCAGCGAAGAAAATATAATAAAAGATAACAGACATCGCTAGGGCGGTCCGACCGAACCTACCCGAATGCGTTTTGATAAACTCTTTGATGCACGTGGACTGCAGCTCAGCATCCGATTCCAGAGAGGCTATTCGATCGGCATGATTGAATTGGCCCAATTTCTCATTTTCGCTGAGCAACTGACGAATCCGGCCCATCATCTGCTTCCCACTTGTACTGCGTGAGGAAGGACGGGAGAAGTAAACACAAAGCTAACTGGATTGTTTCATTGGAAATGGCAATATGCATTCAAGGTTGCACTGAATATAGTTAAGGTTCGCATGAACATACATACTAGGGGCTAGGAATGTGCGCAGCGGAAACCGAATATAAACAGCCGTCCGAATCTGGTAACTTGAACAAATCTTTCAACTGAGAAATCAAGCATATAAGAACTAAGCGACACAAGAGGCGAAGTCGATACAAGATGGAAAAGCAGGCGCACAGTCCACACCGCGAGAGACAGAAGAGCAAAGAATAAAAGCCGTACCACTCGCAATAATCAGAACTGATCTGAATAGGGACCACATTAACAGCACTTCATCTTAATTTTTTCAGACACCCAATTTCTTCGACACTGTGTACCCTAATCAGATGAATCACGTACAAATTGAATATACGTATTATGTTGTTAAATAAACTAATTTGTCGGGAAAATACCGAACGTTCTTGTGGCAACAATCGCTCGTATATTCTGATGGCGATATGCGGATGACCACACCATGAGGCTTCCTGTTTTCATGCAGGTGTCACTGCCGTTCTCCATAACCGAACTCAGGCGTCGTTAGTTTTAATTTGAATCTAACAGTACGACGAGCAGAGGGAACGTGAGACATGCAATACTGATTGGGATTCCCGAATTTCTCATTAACATGTGACTAAGAGAAGTGGCTTGAGCACAAGAGCAGTGCGGTGTCCACCGTCAACCTAACAACGGGACTTGAGGTGAAAAAGCGCTCCGAGACGCGCATTGTTCAAAAATAGTGGACTGGTATGAGCATTTATTGCGATGCCGGTCAGGGATTCCATATAGAATATGAAAGAAGTCCTCTGGTGCACATCTTCCGATGCCAATACAGAAAAACAATTTGAACTTAGTTGAGTGACGCGTGTCTAGTGCTCTGACGTCTCAGTGCGTACAGTGCAGCTGTGTTCCGGAAATTGGAACAACGTCAAAACCCGCATGATCAGATGCNACAACGTCAAAACCCGCATGATCAGATGCAAAAATCTAGGGTCCCCCGGAAAGACAACCAGAGGGAGAAGAAGTGATGCGCAATAGACGTGTAGCGGAGCGAATCTTGAAGGGCCTTAAGCACATTAGTAGCCCAACAAACAGCTGTGAAAGGGCTTTGGAGACGAAAAAAGACAACACAAGGTGTTTTCTAGTGTGATGGTTCAGAAGCTGAAGATGATGGAAACATCGGGATCAAACTGCGTAGTGTGAACACAGTTGCTGTTTGTCAAACAATTCGTGATAAGTTGTGCGTGGGGGGGGATAGTGCACAAAGTGAGTAAGCGCAGTCAAAGAAATAGCGGATAATTATTCAGCATTTTCGTTCGCCTTTATGATATCAGTGTTTTGAGTTATTACATCCATCGATTGTAAAAGGTGGGTGAA